TTTGGAATTTATACTCACCATTATTATCTGTTTTAAAAATAAATGAATAATCTCTTCTTAAGAAGTCACATATGCCATATATTTTCTTTTTCACATTGAACTTTTTGTTTTGCTTACAGGAGAATATTACTCTATCAGCTTGTTTTTTGAGACAGGATCTTGCTGTGTGGCTCAGGCTGGAGTGCAGGGGTGCAGTTCGAGGAGTGCAGCCTCCAACTCCTGGGCTCAAGCAATCCTCCTCTCTTAGCCTCCTGAGTAGCTGGGGGCCACAGATGCATGCTACCACACCCAGCTAATTTTCTTAGTTTTTATAGGCATGAGGTCTTGGTATGGTGTCCAGTCTGGTCTCAAACTTCTGGCCTCAGGTGATCCTCCTGCCTTCGCCTCCCAAAGTGGTGGGATTACTCGTGTAAACTACTGTACCTGGCATAGAATACTTTTTAATACCTATAAATTTTAGCCCTGAAACCTGGGGAAGAAGAGATAATTATGTGTCTTTAGTCAGAAAATTTAAACTGGAATTCTTCCACTCATTTTCTGTATTATTTTATAAAGCAGTGCCCATATGTTGTTTTGTTTTTCTAAAGGAACTATGATTGCTGTGACAAAGATAGCACTTAATTTTTTAAATCGTTAATAATATTTATAAAATATGGATAATTAGAAAAAAGATCACTGTGAAATAAACACCTAGAACATTACAGTTAACTTTGAAGCAGTCCTTGGGTTAGAACTCTGCCCTGTCCTGTCAGGGATAATCATTATTCTAAATATTCAGATTATCTTTTTTCCACTATAATTTTACCACGTGTGACGTGACATACTACGCAAATCCTGTTTCTATTTTGCATATCTTAAAAGCTTTGAGTATCAGTGGAGTTATATTTTTTGTGACTTGCCTTTTTGTTCAGCATTACATTCCTGAGATTTCATGCGTAATACAGGATGTGGTAGTAAAAGTAATTTTTTGTATGAATATCTACAGTATATTCATTGTAATTTGGGTGAATGTGTGGTTTTGACTTCAGAATATTATTATAAACAATGCTGCTGTAAATGCTCTTAAACATATTTCTTATTATACAGGTTCAGAATGGAATTGCTGGGTCTTAGAAAGAATCCAGACATTCACCTTTTCTAAACAACGCCATACTGTTTTCCAAAGGGTTGTAAAAATTTATTTTGCTAGGAGTGTGTATGTTTTCTGTTTATTCCACATCCTTGCCAATGACTGGTGTTTTCTGTCTTTATAATAATTGCCTATTTCGTGTATGTGGTATCTTATTGTGGTTGTAATTTGTATTTTAATTATTACTTAATAGTTTTATCATCTCTTTTCATGAATTCTTTGACCTTTGGTGTTGGCTTTTCTATGAAGTGCCTATTCTGATATTTTGCTCTCTTTCCCACTGCATTGTCTTTTTCATTTTACTTGTAGGTATTTTTTAGATATTCTGGATACTAACCATTGTCAGTTTTATATGTTTTTATATGTTTTCCTAGTAGTGTATCTTTTTGTTTTCTAATCCTGAGCTTATCACAATATTCTCCTACATTATCTACTAAAGGTTTTTTAGTTTTGCCTTTTATATATAGATCTTTAATCCTTGTGGCATTGGTTTTCTTTATATGTCACTATTGCGTCCAATAGGCATTGTTTTTTTTCATATGGTATGTAGGAAAACAATTTTTTCCTTCAAGTGGTGCTTTATCAACTGTCCCTTGAAGGAGGAAAAATATTGAAGCTGGAGTCTTCTCCCCACCAATCTATGTCAGTTGTATCACATTTTAATATATGTAGTGCTGTGTTCCTCTATTATTAATTTTATTGGTTGTGTTCCTGTGTAGATAATACCTTTTTTTCTTTAGTGACATCTTGGCTCTTTGCCCTTTTTATAAATTTTAGAATCAGCGTGTCAAGGTCCATGTAAAACAGATAAACTCATTTGAGATTTTGATTGAAATTGAGTTTATAGATCAGTTTTGAGAAAAACAAAATCTTCTTAATATTGAATCTCCTATTGTGTGGATGAGATTTATCTCCCCATTTAGTTGTATAATTAATTAAAGTTGTATAATTTTCTTCACTGCATTTATTATGGAATGATCATATTAGTAAGGTATGTTTTTGGAGAATTTTTTTCCCTTAAATTTCACATATGGAATGTCAATTGGATAAATTAACTACAGTCATTTAAAGGTTGGTAAATTATAACCTATGAGTCAACCACCTGTTTTTGTACATAAAGTTTTATTGAAGCACATCCACATTGATTGATTTATGTATTTTTAGTTGATGCTTTTGCAGTATAGCAGAAGAGTTGAATAGTTGAGACAGAGACTGCACGGTTTGCAATTCTTAAATTTACTATCTGACACTTTAAGAAAATGTTTCCAAGCCTCTTCTATACATATTGCCCCATAAGAAAAAAGTTTGCCAGCCCCTTCTGTATGTATTGTCCCATTACCTTCAGTGGTTTAAAAAAACCTGCAAACAAAATTTAAAGAAACTGTCGTTAAATATAATCTAAGGGGTTACATCCAAACCAGTCTCTTACTGAAAACTTAAAAAATTTGAACCCTGGGTGAGACAAAGACATAAAATGTAACTATAATGTTTGTACCCTCACAAAACCCTGGAATAATAAAAAAAAAAAAAATTGAATCCTGTTATGTATTGTCAGAACTACTCAGCTTCCAAGATGGCTTAACAATTTCAAACAGGTATAATGTATTTGAGTGTAGTCAGATGGGGTATGTTCAATATCTGTCTAGTCAGAACAGAGTAAGTTGTTACTTGAGGGGAAAAATCTAGATTAAAAGAATTAAACCGTATGACTCATGAGCTGTATGATATTGTGATGTACCACTGAAAGATTTTTAGAAATTTATTTCCCTGAAGATCATAGTGGCAGAAGTTTAAGATGAGGATTGATTGTAGTGCTTATCATGTATCATTTTATTAGTAAGGAAAACTGGGCTCCCGAAGCTAGTTAGTTTTATTCCAGGATACGTCCTATTATATTATTATGACACTAGGTATTTTTTTTTGAGTGAGATAATACAGCATAGGGTTTAAGAACAGAATTTAGTGCAAATCCAAGCTTTGCCTCCAGTTAGGTGTGTAACTAGGTGGCTTACTAAAACTGTTTGCCACAATTTGCTGATTTGGAAAGCTGGAAAGAATAGTTACTGCATTATTTCAACAATTTTAGGATTAAATGAAATCATGTATGTTAGGTGTTCAGAACAGTGCCTGGTACAAACAAATTGATAGGTGTCACATCCTGTTCTAACTTTCTTAAGAGGTTTCTCCCAAGGATTTCTGAATAATTAAAGGATGTACAATGTGAATATTCTGCTCTTTAAAAAATTTTTGACTGTGTATATACACTTTTCCCATACTTTGGAAAACACTATTTTGTCTGACATTTATTTTTTAAACTATCACTGAGTTATTTAACCCTTTTCTTTAGCACAGTCATATTTTCTTTTTCTAATGAGCTTGAGGTTTCCCATGTGCTCTATTTATATAATCTTCCCATAATCTGTATATTCACAAGTCTTTTCAGGTACATTATCGAAGGTCTTTTTGACAGGGCATTAATTGTGTTTTTGTATATTACTGTGTAACTATAGTTTTCAAAGGAGAGGAGGTATATAGTCAGAGGGCTCTCATTCTTAAATCAGGGTACGTGAAAGGCTTTAGCCCAAATAACCAATTTAGCAACCCTTTTTTATTAAAAAAAAAAACGGGCAGTTGGGACAGAGATTGACAAACTATATTTTTTTGGAGACAGGATCTCACTCTGTAATCCTGGCTAGAGTACAGTGTCATCATCATAGCTCACTGCAACCTCAAACTCCTGGGCTCAAGCCATCTTCCTGCCTCAGCCTCCTAATAGCTGAAACTATGGGTGTGTACCACCATGCCCAGCTAATTTTCCAATTTTTTGTAGAGACAGGGTTTCACTCTTGCTTGGGCTGGTCCCAAACTCCTGACCTCATTCATTCCTTCCACCTCAGCCTCCCAAAGTACTAGGATGATATGCATGAGCCATCGCACCTGGCTAACAAAATATTTTTATTAGGCAGTCATATTGTCATCTAGTGATTGCCATGAAGTATCTTGTTTTTACAGTGTTATAGGAAGGCCTCATAGTTATAATTGGTTCTTAATGCAGCATATTCATATAAGTTCATTGCATACCCCTGCAACTCAAATTTCTTCACGAGTTCAGATGAGAACAGCAGTCTCATACAGGGGAGAACTGTCTAGTGCCAAATTCCATTTGTGCCCCCCTGGAAGAATAGTGTTGGATAAAATGGAATATTGTGTTCGCTAGGTCTTTGATTTAACTACCTCTATCTATATATATTTTTAAATATCTACATCTATACAACATCCAGAGAACCCTTCATTTTGTTGCTTCTTACTCAGAAGCATTGGCTAAAACAAGAAAAGTGGCCATATATAGGAGTGGTAATAACTCAGCATCTGACATTCACTTTCCCACCCCCATCTCGACCTTTGCTATCCCTTAAAGTTCTCCATAGAATACCATGTATACTTGATGGAGCTAGGTGATAGGTGTCTGTAAATGTTCTCTTTCATCATTACCTAGAATGTTGTTGATTACATATACCTAGAGACATCCTTTGTACGTAAAGCAATGACTAACTTCGACTGTGTACTACTGAATGTTTTTATCAACAATTTCCATGATGATAAAGACAAAATGGTTTACAAATTTGAGGGTCTTAGCTATAAAAATCTCAGTCTAAGCCAAATCAGTGATGCTTTTATGTCCTCTCTACTCCATAAAAGACATGCAATAAAAATTAGAAACGGTTGCAACTTACATATCGTTACTAGTATTACATTTCTAATCTTTTTTACACAATCAAGCCTTTGAATATAATAAATCAGCTTCTTTTGAATACTTGGAAAACTTGAGTGATTTTATTATTTATGTCAATATTCTTTGATGTGGTTTTAGGTTCATGTGAAATGGATTTTGGACACTGATATTTTCAACGAATGGATGAATGAGGAAGATTATGAGGTGGATGAGAACAGGAAGCCTGTGAGTTTTCGTCAGCGAATTTCAACAAAGAATGAAGAGGTATTTTGTTTGACACTGTTTCTCACTACTAGGTGTTTCTTCTTTATGGACCTAAATGTTGCCAAATTTTTATCGATAAACTGTCACATACAAGCCAAGGTGCATCAGCCATCAAGTACATGTAAAAATTCCTAAGTGGCAATAACAACTCTCTAAAAACCTGGCATCCCCTCCAAAAGGGGCATGAAAATCTCAAAGTATCATTAAGATTTAAAATGGCCCATGCAGTGTGGCAAGTGGTAAAGCTGATTTTGTCCACTAGATCTGAATTTTGATTGTATTAATACACATCATAATGTCATCACAGCAGAATTTAATTCAGTTGTTGCTTTTTCTAAGGGAAACTCATTTTGTTTACTACTAGGCCATTAAATATGAAATGTCCAATTTCGAATCAAAAGTTTAGTTTATTATATCTCAAACAAGCAGTACAATTTATGAAAGTATGCACCTAAACTATCGACACAGTTTTGCCATCTTAACGGTAGCTTGTTTATGCCAGCACCGAAGAAGCCTGGAGAGTGAGTGGCAATGAAATTGCAAAAGGCATTTTCCACAGCTTGTTCAGAATTGAATATTTTTCCTTGGAAGAAGTGATCTAAAGACTGGGAGAAGTGGTAGTCAGTTGGTTCAAGGTCTGGTGAATACAGTGGATGACAGAGAGTTTCCAAGTCCAGTCTCTGTAGTTTCAGCAGCATTGTTTGTGCGACATGTGGTCGAGCATTGTCTTGCAACAGCATTGGCCTGTGTTTATTGACCAATCTCAGCTGCTTAATCACAAGCATTCTCGTTATTTAGTCCAATTGCTTGTAGTAGACATCTACTATAATCGATTAAC